GCAAGAGGTAAAGTGGAGGGTATGGTTGAAGTTGCTAGAAACAAAGCGGAAAAGATTGAAGAGACTGTTGAACAGTGGCTAAGTGATGTAGACTCCATCGTTCCTGAAGCAGAGACGTTGATTAACGGGAGAGCAAACGTCCGATGTTTCAACTTGGGAGCCCGTTACAAACTGCGCAAGAAAGCATCGAGAAAGGTGGAGGATATTTCTCAACTCCTGGAGCAAAAAGAAGCATTCGGCGATCAGGTTTCCCGCCCTATCATTCATGAAGATACGAGGCTTATATTGAATAAAGATTACTTGGCCTTTCAATCACGATCGTCCACTTTGGAGGACGTATTGAAGGCATTAAATGAGGCCGAGGTGGACATTATTGGGGTTCATGGGATGGGTGGCATTGGTAAGACCACCCTGGTCAAAAAAGTTGGAAGGCAGGCGAAGGAAGAAAAGCGATTTGATAAGGTGATTTTTGTTGAGGTAACTGACACTCCGAACATAGAAAAGATACGAGAAGAAATTGCGAATGACTTAGGTTTGAAATTTGATGATAAGGAGACTGAAACTGGAAGAGTAAATAAGTTATTTGCACGATTGAAGAAGGAGAAGACAATCCTAATAATTTTAGATAATATTTGGGATGAGCTTGATCTGGAGAAACTAGGAATTCCTTTTGGTGAAAATCATAAGGGATGTAAACTATTGTTGACAGCAAGGGATCGAAACGTGTTTCGCAGCATGAGTTCAACCTCAAAATCTTTCTCGATTGACGTTTTGAAGGAAGATGAAGCTTGGAGCTTATTTAGAAAGATGACAGGTAATGACGTCTTTTCCTTGTACATTTTTATTGGTTTGTCACAATTTTTAATACTATGTTCTAGATTTTACTCATTTCAGTGCTCCCCAGATCTATAAAGAAAGTTTTATTCATTTAAATTTTGTAACAGATAAATATAATACTCGCTGTTTTGTTTTACTTGATTGGATTAATTTTTTTTTTTTTAAGTAACAATAACATGAAAAATAGTTCAATTTCACCCATGTACTCGTTAAAAAGGATCATCTTGAACACTTCGTAAGCATCAACTGGTTGCCGCAAGCACTTTTTTTTCCAGCACTTAAAAATTTGTATCATTACTCTTTCAATTGTAGAAAAATGGAATGAATGATCATTAAAGAGAAAGTCACAAGATGATCAAAGCTTCGGTGAATATTGTGTCAGTGATTTATACGTGTGGAAAGAGAAATATCATTTAAAAAAATATTTTGAAATTAAGTGATATTTATTTAAATATTTAGATATACTAACAATTTTGAACGAGAATTATTTAGAATAGGTGGAGAGAAATAACAATATCACTCAATTTTTTGCACTTTATATAGGTTTTTATAGGAGTGCTTTGGAGAAATAACAGTATATTCCTTTCGTTGAATCTTCTCCTCCAGCCGTTTGAATTTATTCTTTAAAGTTTTAGAATTTATTTGATACTTCAAAATTTTGTTATAAAACAAAGTCTTTAATTGTATATAAATTATAATGCACACTTCGAATCATATAATTATATATATAGCACTTTAAAATATATATAAGAACGCTATTTAGCATAGGTATTTTTGCTTTGATGCAAGTCTTATTGTTGTTAAACCTTAGCCCTTCTGAATCAAATGGCCCTAACTCTGATGAACTTCTATATATAAATATCAACACCAGTTCATGCATCAATATTATATAATCCCATAATAATATATATTTTCATTATTTTGTCCTTTTAGCAGTGTTTTAAAATTATGCGGTCGAAAATATTCTCAAATATTTAACAAACAAAAGATATATTTACTTTTTATATGTCAAACAACAAAATTTCAGAATTGATTTTGTAATATATTCTTAAAGAATTCTAAATTAATCAACATACTTTATACAAATTTATCTTTCTACTAACTTGATTTATAATTCTCATTCCCCTTGTAGGTGGATTTGATATGCGTGAGTTGCAAACTCTGCCGAATGATGTATGCCAAGAATGTGGTGGTTTACCAATTGCCATTGTTACTGTAGCAAAGGCATTAAGGAACAAGAGAGACCTAGATGACTGGAAGAATGCCTTACAAGAATTGAAAAGTCCTTCCCCAACAGAGTTCAAAGGAGTGCTGAAAGAGTCATATTCAAAGATAGCATTGAGTTACAATTATTTAGAAGGTGAGGAACTCAAGAAAGTTTTTTTGCTCTGTAGTATAATGACACGTGATGCTTCCGTTTCAAAATTGTTCAAATTCGTTATGGGTTTGAATATACTTGAAGGAAATAAACTTACAATGGAGGGTGCACGACATAGACTACATACACTTCTTTCTAAACTCAAAGAGTCTTGTTTGTTACTTGATTGTTCTTCACGTGAACGATTTTCTATGCATGATGTTGTTCGGGATATTGCTATAACAATTTCATATAAAGACCATCATGTACTTACGGAGAGAAATGATGTTGAAGGTGAATGGAAAAACGTAGATATACTCAAAAAGTGCACCACAATCTCCTTATCTAGTAGTGATATTCTTAGCAAACATTGGGCTGAAGGTTTAGAATGTCCAGAACTTGAATTTTTCTATATGGATATGAAGTATTCTCCTTTCCAATTTCCTAAGAGATTTTTCTTAGGGATGGCAAAGCTCAAAGTTTTAAGTTTGAGTTATATTCAATTATCAATTATTTTTCCAAAAGGCCTTCAAACATTGTGTTTGGATGGTTGTGATATTGAAGAAGTTGCTATTATAGGGGAGTTGAAGAAACTAAAGATCCTTAGCTTGAGATACTGTTACGGTATTGTGCAATTGCCTAGAGAAATAAGTCAACTAACTGAACTAAGGTTGTTAGATTTAAGCTATTGTCTCAATCTTCGAGTTATCACACCGAATGTCATATCAAAATTAGTTTTATTGGAAGAATTATGCATGGTAGGATGCCCTATTCTGTGGGAGGCCAAAAGACCTAATGTTGAAAGAAGTAATGCTAGTCTTGAGGAGGTTACTAATTTGTCTTATCTCACCGCTCTAGAAGTAGATATTAAAGATGAGAATGTTTTGCCGAAGGACTTTTTCTCCAAAAAGTTGGAACGATATCATATATCAGTTGGAGATTGGTCCTACGGTTTTGTTGGACAATACTATGAAGGTGATGGTTCAATAATTGATAGGGAGCAGCATTTGGATAGCTTTTTGTTTAGTCAACTCAAGTGTTCAAGAACAATCAAAATGACGCTTAATTCTTCCATTTGCTTAGAGGAATTGCAAGGAATCAAGAGTGTTAAATTCTTATGTTTACATGAATTGCCGAATGTTAAGAATGGTCTTCAAGAATTAGACAATGATTGTTTTTCACAATTGAAACATCTCCATGTCCAATATAATCTTAACTTCTTGTGTCTAGTTGACTCAACAAAATGTGTAACTGCCTTCCCCCTCTTGGAGTCACTGAATCTTTGCGATGTGATTAATTTGGAGAAGATATGTAATGGTCAACCAACAACGGAGTGCTTCTGCAATTTAAAATTCATAACAGTGCAAGGTTGTCATGAATTGACAATTCTCTTCTCTTTTTCCACTGCCAAAAGTCTTCCACAACTTCAAAGACTTACAGTGAGAGATTGCAAGAATGTGAAAGAGATTTTTGCTATTGAAAGAGAAGAGAATGTCAACAATGGCAGCGATAAGATTGAGTTCTTTCAATTACGCTTCCTAACTCTGAAATATCTTCCGAGGCTTGCAAGCTTCTGCTCAGGAATGACGACAACATCAACATCACAATCGAGACATGATGAATTGACACTGTTTGACGAAAAGGTAAGCTTGATGATAACCTTGTACTTTTCTATTATAGATATAAACAATTTTTTGTTCTTTACTTTATCTGAGAAAATATTGAATAAACAATTAACTTTTACTGCAGCTTGTTTTCCCCAATTTGGAGGTTTTAGTACTTGAAGACATAGAATCTGGAATGATTTGGTGCAGCCACCTTCCAACCTTCATGACATCATCCTATTATAATTTGACAAGCTTGACCGTGCTGGGCTGTAGAAAAATAAAATACATATTTCCAGCTTCTATGGTTCAAAGCTTTAAGCACCTCCAACACCTTGAGATTTGTAGATGCAGAGATTTAAAGGAGATTGTTGCTAATGGAGCAGAAGAAACTCCTAAGTTTGTCTTTCCACGGTTAAAGTTTTTAAAACTTAACGACCTACCAGAACTTACAACTTTTTACCTTGGAAGGCATAATTTGGAATGGCGGTTGAAGTTAGAGGTTTGTGATTGTAAAAAAGTAAAGATATTCACTTCAGAATGTGGTAGCTCCAATGAAAACAACACGGAGGCCCAATTTGATAATTCAGAGCCAACCCTCTTCTTGATTGAAAAGGTACATATTTATTTTCTTTAGATAATTAAAAAGAAAATAAACAAAATGGATCATTAATAAATTTGGATACATACTTTCTATTCTTTTATTTTCTTTAACAATATTTAGATATGTAAGAAAAAATAAATTTGTAGCTTGATTTGGACAAATTTATTATGGAAAACCAGATCATCCAATATAAATATGAGACATTTTCCTCCAAAGTTAACCACCGGAAACAGTTGATTTCAAATCAAGAATGATCTAAATTTAAAAGAACATTCTTTTGCCAAGTCAGTTTGTCTTTGGTGTTCAATTCGACATTTTGTTCCCCTTCTGTTTCTTGTTAAAATTATAAACTATTGGAATATTGTGTTTAACTCCAACTTGCTATTGTCAATTAATACACAGATCAACCCCGATTTGAAGGAATTGATAGTGGATAGCATGATTCCACTAGGATTCCTTGAAAGATTTAACAACCTACAAAAGCTCAAACTAAATGGGGATTTAGACGAAGTATTATTCTCATGTAAAGAAGAAGAGAAACATATTGAAGTACCAATACAAATAAAACATTTAGAGCTGGATCATCTTCATCATCTAATGTATTTGTGGAAAGAAGACTGCAAGCTAGATCCATGTCTTCTGTTTCAGAATCTTACCCATCTGACAGTAGCAGATTGCCATAAAATAGAGATGAACATAATAACATCTTCAATTGCCAGAAGTTTGCTACAATTGAGGGAAATGAGTATCTGTAGATGCGATATGATAATAGAAGTAGTAGAAGATGAGAGAGATGTAGCAAAAGATGAGATTGATTTCCCCAAATTGAAGTTGCTGTCACTCTATGATTTAGAAAATCTCATGTGCTTCTACTCTGGGAATTGCATTTTAAAATTCCCATCTTTAGAAGAATTACAAATGAAGAACTGCCTCAATATGAAGACTTTCTCTCAAGGAGTCTTGAGCACACCAAAGTTACAGAAGGTAGTAAGGGGAAGATATTTGGAAGAAAAGTGGTGGAAGGGTGATCTTAATTCAACTATACAACAATTATACCAAGAAAAGGTATGTATTTATTTACTTAAGAGAATAACTTTCCTTTTAGTTTTTAATAGATACAGCTATTTAGAAACCATTAGCAAAAATAATAATTAAATTACATCTTTTAAAGTTCATAATAGTTTCATAATGATGAGAAATAGTAAAATAATTAAAAAGGTCAAAAAAAAAAAAAAAAGAATGGTAAACTAGTACATTAAATATCAAAAATACGTTTATAATGTTCCATTCATTATTTAGTAATGGGGTGAGGGTTAAGGTATACAATGGGCTCATGCTTAGCCCATACATGTAGGCCTGTGAACCCAATAGGTCAGCATGTGTCAGGCCGAAGGTGCATGTAGACAACCATCACTATCTCCACCACCTTTGTCATAACTTCCATACACAGAGGACCAGGATTTGATTTCCAAGCCTATAAAGAGGACTTTTATTTATGTGAATGGTTAAAAGTAGATTATTAATTGAATGAACATCGTTTTCTTGCATTTTTGCTTTAAAATTATTTATTTATTTTTCCCCTTATCTATCAATCATTCTATCTTGTTTATTTCTAAAATCATTCATAGATAGAACAATGGGTCACATGTGGACAGTGTGAAAGTGAAGAATTCTATCAATTCCACAATTATTCAATATGAATCCTCTCATTTTGAACGATAAAATAGTTGCATAATGCTAAAAAAACAATATGCCGCTTTTGTTACTAAACTTTTTTTTTTTTTCCCTAATGGCTGAATTAGTAGACAAGTTATTACTATGTAGGTATTATTACTTAAACCAACCCACCCTCCAGGTTTGCCAAACTCATAAAAACACTTACGTATTTATAATGACGCAAAACCCCCTGTTATATAAAGTTAACAGATTCCCATTACATTTGTCAGTCTAGGGGCAAAATAGTCATAGCATGGATAAACATTAAAAAAAAAAAAAAAAAAGGAACCAAAAATCTGGGAAAGTCCCATGAACACACATTACCATAAAGAATTTTTAAAAAGGAGTACAATTTTGGGGCAAAATTTTCCTAAAGTTCAAGCGAAAAACAAAGATTCATCTATGAAGGAAATCCCTAGTAGTGACCTTAAAATCTGGACCGAAACCTAACTCAAAAACTCCATAAGTGGCTAACAAAATTTATTATTTCATTGAGAGCTTTTATCAAACACTTAGTGAGCCTTAGCTTTTGACATACAAAAATCAAATATAGCTAAACAAATCAATACATCTACCCAATTCTAAGACAGAAGCTTGTAACTAATTATATGTATGTAATATGAATTAAAAATAAGAAGCAAAATACCAGATAAAAATCCTTACAAACTGAGATGGTGGGATCTTTGAGAGATATAAAAAAGAGTATGAGCATAAAAAGGGGGGCGTCAAAGTGATCACTTTCCATATATATATATATTTAGTTTTAGCGTACTAATAATGAGACCAATGGCAATTGCCTAGTTACGTTTCATGGTAATTGAATTATATTTTGACTTCTAAATTTGCATTTCTAGTATCTATTATTTATTTTTATTACCAAATGAATTACGTTATTATACAGCTTAACTAACTAAGGCTGACCCACCAAATAACAACAAACTATCAGATAATACTAACAAAACTATAATTTTAACATGATTTATTTTCAGGGTAACTTTTATCAGAAGGCATCGACATTATTTGGAAAGGACATCAAGCAAATATGCCGAGGCCAAATTCCAGATGAACCTAAGGATGCTCAAGTGAAAGCTCTTGAGATCTTTAAAGACGAATCAAGAAGCATTCCAGTTGAAATCCTTGAGACGTTTCACAATCTTAAAAGCCTTGAACTAAAAGCAAATTCAGTCAAAGAGTTGTTCTCATCTGGAAATGATGATAAACATGTGGGGGCATTCACACAGTTAAAATTTCTGGAAGTCCTTCTTTGTCACAATTTGACCACTCTACTACCATCTTCTACATCGTTTGAAAATTTAATCGCTCTGAAAGTACAATATTGTAATGGATTGAGGAGCTTGTTGACATCATTAACAGCAAAAAGTCTCGTGCAACTCCAACATATGACAATAAAAGGATGTGAAATGCTTACAGAAGTAGTAGCAAATGGGGGAGATGAAGAAAAAGATGTAGTTTTCAAGAAACTGAAGAGCTTGTCACTTGATTGTTTAGAAAATCTCACAAGCTTCTGCTCTGGGAATTACACCTTTAAATTCCTGTCTTTGAAGAGATTATCTGTGGATAATTGCCNAAAATTTATTATTTCATTGAGAGCTTTTATCAAACACTTAGTGAGCCTTAGCTTTTGACATACAAAAATCAAGTATAACTAACAAAATCAAAACATCTACCCAATTCTAAGACAGAAGCTTGTAACTAATTATATGTATGTAATATGAATTAAAAATAAGAAGCAAAATACCAGATAAAAAGCCTTACAAACTGAGATGGTGGGATCTTTGAGAGATATAAAAAGAGTAATGCTACAGTTACCGACTGGTGTGTACCGATTTTGTACACCGAATGACGTGGTACAATCCTGACCGTTTATTTATTATTAGTTAATATTAATCAACGACCAGGATTTTGTCACGTCATTCGGTGCACAAAATCGGTACACACCAGTCGGTAACTCTATCATTTTCCATATAAAAAAGAGAATAAGCATAAAAAGGAGGGCGTAAAGTGATCACTTTCCATATATATATTTAGTTTTAGATGTAATAATGATGAGACCAATGGCAATTGCCTAGTTACCTTTCATGGTAATTGAATTATATTTTGACTTCTAAATTTGCATTTCAAGTATGTATTATTGATTTTTATTACCAAATGAATTATGTTATTATACAGCTTAACTAACTAAGGCTGACCCACCAAATAACACCAAACTATTAGCTAATACTAACAAAACTATAAATTTTAACATGATTCATATGATTTATTTTCAGGTTTTCTCTGATCCGAAGGCATTGACATTAATTGGAAAGGACATCAACCAAATTCCAGATGAACCTGAGGTTGATCAAGTGAAAGCTCTTGAGATCTTTAAAGACGAATCAAGAAGCATTCCAGTTGAAATCCTTGAGACGTTTCACAACCTTAAAAGCCTTAAACTAAAAGCAAGTTCATACAAAGAGTTGTTCTCATGTGGAAATGATGATAAATGTGTTGGGACATTCCCAGAGTTAAAATTTCTGCAAGTCCTTATTTGTCACAATTTGATCACTCTACTGCCATCTTCTACATCGTTTGAAAATTTAATCTCTCTGGAAGTACAATATTGTAATGGATTGAGGAGCTTATTGACATCATCAACAGCAAAAAGTCTGGTGCGACTCCAACAAATGACAATAAAACAATGTGAAATGCTCACAGAAGTTGTAGCAAATGGGGGAGATGTAGAAAAAGTTGTAGTTTTCCGGAAACTGGAGAGTTTGTCACTTGATTGTTTAGAAAATCTCACAAGCTTCTGCCCTGGGAATTACACTTTTAAATTCCTGTCTTTGAAGAGATTATCTGTGGATAATTGCCCCAAGATGGAGACTTTCTCTGGAGGAGTTTTAAGCACACCGAAGTTGCAGGAGGTAGTAAAGAACGGGTTAGATCTTTATGGGTGTTGGGATTATTGTCTCAATACAACCATAAAACAATCACAAAAAATGGTACGTAATTATTTACTTAGAAAGTCTGTGTTTTTTGTTTTTGTTGATTTGATTAACTTCACATCTAACCACCGGAATTTTTAATTGTACTTACTAAAAATCTAAAATAATGGTTGTAGACTGAACACTTGTCAACCCCATGGCCTAGTCTTTAATTTTTTCTTTAACCGAATTAATGATCTCAATATGCATTTATTTAATTGAGTACTAAAATTGATATCTTTAATTAATCAAACAAACATTTTATGCTTTTGCTTTCATAAAATTGATATCTTTAATTAAATACATATTTATTACTTATTTTATCAAGAACTTATTTTAAATATATTAATTGTTGGTTTTTCATTATAATTTTGTATTAAAAATCTTTATTTAAAATAAAAATTAATATTTTATTGACTCCAACATCTCTCATATCCTCTCTTTCTTTCGCTTAGGGCTATAAATTTAGAGAAAACATAACGAAATAGTTATTGTATTCGTTTTGAACACAACATATAATTATCGTGATAATGTTGAAGTAGGTTAAAAAATCACATCATGTGTTTTATTGTCATTGTCAATTAGGCTAAAAATATCTGTATAATTATAAGAGAATTCAAAAGATGAAGCATTCGGACAAGTTGATTAGGGAAAGCCCAGCTAAATTATCCATTGCGGTCTCACATGTTATGGCCCTAATTTAAATTCCCCAATACTTATATATAATTCAACCATTTCATAAGCTTACATAAGATGTCAGTTAGATTCAATTAATAAGAGAGGCCCATGTAACAGAGAGAAGTTGATAAAGGGAAAGGCTTCACTCTCTCGGCCCACTTGGAATTGTTTTGCTTTTATCTTTCCTTCTTCAATTGTGACGTTGCTCTAAAATTTTTTACACCCCTTATGTTTCCATCATTTCATCATTTGAGGTTGAATGGTGGAAACGATTATTTTACTTCTTAATTTTTATACACTAAAAGAATATTATTGAAATAAGAATTTTGAATGTAGGTCGTTTTTCCTGATATGAAGGTCCCAAAATTGAGTTCAACGTTATTGGACATCCAGCATCTGACGTCAACGTCTTCCTCTTATCGTAATATAACGCACTTTATTTTGTTCGGTTTTCATCATCTGAATTATGTATTTCCATCTTCTCTAGTAAAATGTTTTGAACAACTTCAACAACTTGAGATAAGATGGTGTCAGGTTTTAAAGGAGATTGTTACGATGGAAGAAGTAGAAACAACTTCTACGTTTGTCTTTTCACGAGTAACCACTTTAATACTTGAAAACTTATCAGAACTTACATCTTTCTGTCTTGGAAAACATACATCGGAGTGGCCGGTTCTAACGACTTTGGAGGTGTATAATTGTGACAAAGTGAAGACTTTCACTTCAGAACATCTGAGCTTCCATAAGGACAGTGAAGAAGCCCACTCTCTCTTGTTAGTGGAAAAGGTACTGAGTTTCTTTGTACTTTCTTTAATAAACTAGAAAATTGAAAACATCATTATAATACATAAATTAGATCTCTTTGATTATATGACTAATTAATATATCTTTTTTCTTTGAAAATTAAACTGGAACTTCTTCGGAGTTAATTAATGAGAGAGGTTGCATGAAAAATTTGTTATCATATTGTTAAATAAGAAACCAATATTTAATATGTAATCAAATTAAAATATTACCATATATTTAATATGATTTTCAAATATAAATTTTTATTTTCAAAAATTAGGTATGGAAAAAAATTTATAATTTATTTGATCAATTGTTAAAAAAAGTGGAGGTTTTGGATTAACGTTAAAATTACTTGAAAAATCTCATTGGAAGATAAAAAATTCATACATTAGTTGTCTTCGGCCTTTGTTTCTTGACCCATCAATTCATATTTTTTTTTCTCCTTATTTTGAAAATAGAAAAAAAAAATGGATATGGGTGAATAGTTAAAAGTTATTTAACTTCAACTTGATTTTATCTGATTAATTTGTAGATCAATTCAATTTGGAGGCATTGAGATTGACCGAAATAGACAGCGTGATGGCATGGCAGGGCCCATTTTCAGAAAACTTCTTTGCAAACTTAAACTTCTGAGATCATGTCCACAAATGCACCAGTTGGAATCCTTCAAAGGTTTAAGAATCTAGAAACGGTCAAACTAAATAAGATTCAAAGCATAGAAATATTCTTATGTGGAGAGGATGAGAAAAGGATTCTACATAAGAGGTTTAAAGCTGAATATTGTTATGAAAGGAGTACCTATTGAAACAAGACCCAAAATGCCTCTATTCTTCAAAATCTTGAAGTTCTTGAAGTTACATTGTTGGAATTGATCAATGTAGTTGCCATCATCAGCATTTCCAAAATCTTAAAGTTCTTACTGTAGCGATTGGGGCAATGGTAAACTTAATAACATCTTCTGTAGCAAAAAGTCATGGTGCAATTGACAGAAATGAAATAAGGATGCTTAAGTTGATCGAAATAGTAGAAATGATCAAAGATGGAGCAGAAGATGAAATTATTTTCACCAAATTGAAGTGGTTGTCACTTGAAAATTTAGAAAGCTCACCTGCTTTGCACAGGGAAATACACTTTCAAATTCCCAACTTTGGAAGAGTTAATTGTGGAAGATTGCCCCAACATGAAAACTTTCTGTGAGGAGTCTTAAGCACACCAAGATTACAAAAGGTATGGGAAGACAAGTGCTTGGATATTGGAAGTTGTTGAAGGGTGAGCTTAATACAATCATACAACAATTACACAAAAACGTGGTAAGTCCTCAATTATTTATTTTTTATTTATTTTTGGTTTTTATGTAATTGTTGTTGCTAGATATAATTAATCATAAGAATCCCTCTGGCAAAATTTATTAGAATTTATATTTAAAAAATAATATATAAATGAAAAAAAGTCAAATTCACGTATCATATATAAATACACATTGCAAAAAAATGAATACATTAGGTTTCACTATCTAAAAATGTCGATGTCATTCAAGATTATCTGTGAAAAAATTAGAACACTGAAGAAAAAAATGTAATTTCCAATTGTAATGAAATATAAATAAAATAACAAAATAGCAACAACTAAGATTATTATGTGGGAAAGTAGATGAATGAAAAAATTCGTTATTGAGAAACAATCAGCTTTTAGTTTGAAATTTTGAATCTTGGCTACAGATAAGTTTTTCATGACAAATTTAAATTAACCTTTATCTAGAAACAAATATTAGAGTTTTGAAATTCATTTAATAGGAAAGCATAAAGGATAAAGTTTAAAAGGAAAAGTAACATTTAATGGATTAAATGGAGTAAATATTCCATTACATGACATATTAAACTGGAACCTTGATTAGTGTAAGGGAAAACTTATTGAAAGTAATAAAATATCAATCTACTTATTGGGTCTTAATTCAATGAGAAGCCTCGGTGCTTGTGCCTGCAACCGTGAGCCTCCTGCATGCTAACCCAAAGGGTAATTGGCAGAAAACCCATGGACCTGAAAAACAAAGCGTGAAAAGTTTTTCTTCTAAAAATAAATATAATTATACTGCATGTTTCCTCTAAACTATATGTATTGTGTGATATTGGTTATGGGAAACATTAATTTTAACATGCTTTATATGATTGATCTTCAGGTTCATTCCAATTGGAGATATTCACAATAAGTGGAAAGAAACACGCTACTTGGCCTGACCAGTTTTCAAGCCATGACTTTGGGAAAGGGAAATCTCTTGAGTTCATTAAGGACGAATCAACAAGCCATGCTGGGATTTTATCAAAAATACAAATCTACACGTGTATAAGTGTCAGGGACTACTCTAGTGCCATCTTCAGCATCTTTTGAAAACCTGACAACTTTGAGAGTATGGCATTGTGAGTGGATTGAAAAACTAATTTCTTCGCAATGCTAAAAGTTTGAATCAGCTGAAGAAATGACTATAAAACGTTGTGAAATGATGACAGAAATTGTTGCAAATGAGGGGGATGTAGAGAACGACGAAATTGTTTTCAACAATTGGGTCATTCGATTGCGATTTAAAAAGTTTCACGTGCTTTGCTCTGGAAACTACACCTTCAAATTCCCATTTTTGACGAAATAGATGTGACTAGATGCCCAAGATGAAGACTTTTCTGGAGGAGTGTTAAGCACACGCAGTTACGGTGGGGGTAGAGTATAACATGGAGCATTTAACAAAAAATTAATGAAGACAGTTATCGCCTAAATGAAATTATACAACAATTACACAAGAAAGAGGGTGTAGGTTAATTACTTGAAAGCTTATTATCTGGGGTGCTTTTTCTCAATACATAGATTAGTTTTCTCTTACATTTAGTTATTTAAATTAACAACACATCACTTCAAAAGCTTATTGATGGAAATAAAATATAGCATTTTTCTTTTCTCAAATTTCCTTAACATATGTATATACACCATCAAAAACGTCATGATCAAATAAATGTTCGCTTTCTTTTCTCAATTTTCCTTTTAATTGATAAATTATATCAATTTATGTTCAAAGAACATTCTCTATAGTTTTTGCATTACTCAATATGTTGTAATTGTAAATGTTACAGAATGTTCAGAGTTGTGAGAAGGATTTGGTCAAACTCTAATGCAACCTGTGGAATAAGGCCTCTATGTACGCAGTTTGTGGGGCATTGTAGTTCATGTTCCTTGTGTTCAACTCAGACCATGAGAGGGTTCTCTGTTTTTACCTTTTTTTTTTTTTTTATCTTTCCGGTTTGAGATTTTGCTTTGAAGTACCACAATTGTTTTGATTTTGATTTTTTTATTATATTATTTTTTTTTTTAACGTGGTAACGTGGTACAATGAAGATGTGACTCTTTTGAGGCAACATTTTGCCTCTCTTGAATTGTAAATAAAAGGAGAAAAAAGAGTTGGTTTTGGGGCTGGAGAGACATCCAAAGCAGGGGAGGGAGAAAGTGATGCAAACAGCTTTTCCAGCAAATATCCATCAATGAATCTTGCTTCGTGGCCAAATTTTAGAGTCTATTGTTGAAGACAAGATCTTCACATCCAACAATCGTTTCTCGATAATTCTCTTCATTGTGATGTTTTGTGAGACCTCTCATTTTCTCTATTGAGTCTTTTCTATTAAAATCCATCTTGTTAGGATGATGATTGGTGAGTTATAGTCTCTAGTTTTTATCTAGAGAAGAAATGTTGTACATATTAATTACATAGTGGAAGTTAAAATCGGACTAGGTGCCCGTGGTTTTTCCCATTGGGTTTTCCACGTAAAATTCGGTGTCTCGTTTGTGATGATTGTCCTATATTTTGCTGGTGGTTTGATTTAAATTATAGGAGTAATTTTGCGAACCATTTAAATCACACAAAGAGGGAAAAATTTTTTGCTTTGCTTTTGTAGATTTTCACTGCACCCGGTCCACTTTTTTCCAAGAGAAGTTGGACATTCCTGCCCATTGAGACATTACCAATAAAACATTCGAATTAATTAGCTCAAGCCCCATTTGAGACATTACCAATAAAACATACGAGATTAATTAGCTTCAAGCCCATTTATCAGCATGCGCTCTTGCAAGCCATGCCTCTTTTACTTGCAAATCTCCAATACAATCATACATCACTTCGAGCTAATCACTATATGATACATGAAATGCTATATAACTTCTTTCATATTCTTTTTCACTTTTGAAACGTGTTTAGATATCCAAAATTCATTGCATTTCCGCTTTATACAGCAGCATAACTCATGCCGGAGACTCAGCGAAATGTTGCACTTCGATTCCAGTTGCTGGAAAAGCAAAACGACGTTTACCTTGTGAAAGTTCTTTGTTCATCATCTTTTTGGCCTTGACTACCAGCTAAATTTTTCTTCTATCCCCAGAATCACGTGGGTTCTTTGGTTTCCTTCAATCCTCACTGATTCTTTCTTCGCAGCTTCCCCAAATTTGATCTGTTCTCGCGGCTTCAAAATCAAATGGCTTTATCTGCAAAAAGCCACTATGGTTTTCAGATTTCTCAAGCTTTCCAGGTTTTCTATTTTTGTTCACTGATTGCAGGCATTCCTGGAAGTGGTAGAAAATCAGAGAGCGACATAGGCTCCTTGTTCATCATTTCCAAAGCAGGCTCCGCAGAATTGTTCTCCCTGGGCACATTGGTTTTTCCAAGTTATCATGTGTTGATTCCTTCATTTAACATCTTCCAACATTATACATCTTCGGATTATACCTAGCAGATGGCTCAGCAGGAGGTTCCTCAGATTGAAATTTAACACTCTACTGGACTCTTCTGCGACAGGTTTTGGCTGTTCACCACTGGTAAAAGATGAGAAGGATTGAAGGTTCTTTGAAGATTTAACAGGCTCCACCTTGACCTCTTTAACTGCTTTTGGTGTTCATCCCTGGCAGAAATGAGTGGAATGGTAGATTCACCGAAGATCTAATCTGATCCAATTTGATCTCTCCTTGTCCTGATTAAAATGAACAGCTAATTATAAAAATACGATTGAATGAAATCGGATTCCAGTCATTAAAAATGAAGATGACAGCCATGCTAGTCGAGTATACATGATGCATTCACTTTGGCAACAATTGAACCCTGGACAACCTTCCCTTATCTTATGAATTTCACATAATGATGTCTCACACAACAAACAGGTCAACAATAAGACAGGTTTCATAACAGTTGAAAAAATAACCATCCAAATGATAGTAAATAATGGAATAAGATCCAAAAAAATCAACACCTTTTATCTTTTTATTTTCTTTTCCTTTTTTAACGAGAGAAAAACATTTTTAACTAACAATAGCCTTAGAAAATTAACATAAGAAAACAGAGGCAAAAAAAGAAAGAAAGAAAGAAAAGAGAAAATTTGGCAGGCAAACAAAAACTGATTTGCCATTTAACAAGAATCAGCAGCACATACTCACCCCTTTACTAACAGAATAATTGCAGAGCTAGCAAAAATAATGAGCACATTAAACTCACCTTTTTCAGTATCAAACTTTCTCTTTGGGTTACCAGCAGTGCTCCAAAACCACGGGTAGGTTTCTTTAGAGCCCAAAAGATGCTTCAGTAACCTATAAAGAAATAAACATTTTAATCTACAGCTATCAATTTAAGATTATAATCAATACAAGGCATTAACGTTTTACAACCTTAACTGAAGAGGATATGCAGTTATTGTCTCTCTACTTTGGCAGAGGTTAGTAATGCTTTCT